GGGCGGGGAAGGATGGAAGGGCAGCAGTGTGCCTAGGGGCCAGCATGTGAGAAGACCACACCTGAAGACTCGCACAGCACCTGAAGTTGAGTCCAGTGTGGCTGGTAAAAGACAGGAGTTGACGTCAGGAAATGGAGCCAGCACAGCCAACGAGGAGGATGGCCCGTGGCCGAGCATAGCTCTGGCTGGAGGGTGGAGGACATGTGTGAGACAGCAGGACGTTCCATCAGCGGTGACCACGAGGGATGAACATGAATGGCTGAGCCGGGGCCACGGCAGTGATTAAAGCCGGGAAACAAAAACATGGCTGGAAGAGGCCACGGTCAGGTTCAACAGGATGTGGCACCCGGCAACGGAGGGAATGAAGAAGGAAGCGAAGACTCCATGCTCTGAGCTTGAGGGAGGCTACAGGAGGAAAAGTCAACTGGGGAAGAAATGAAGGAAACAGGGTTGAGGAAGCTGGGGGCTGAAGTACCAGCAAAATATTCCCTGATTAGCATCTGTAACCAGCAGTCACCTGGCCTCTGACCAACAGCTCTGGGAATGGGGATCCCATCACCATGGATGGGGATTCCAAGATGTGGACTCCAACACCTGGCAAACCAAATCTCAATTATAACAGGATTTTTTTCTTACATTAAGACAATGCCTGTTTCCTCATAACTTTCATGCATTGATCCTGGATCACATGTGGGGATCCACATTCATAAGCAAATCACAGGAAGCCCACTGCCTCTTTCAGACCTGTTTGCCATTAACTGGAGAAGATTCTGGCCATTTCCAACTCATTCACATCAAATTCTTAGAATAGAAAACTTCCAGAATGTTAGTGCCCTAACAGCCCCAAAGGTTACCTTCGTTTTTTTAAAATATATATATATTTTTTTTTTTTTTGTAAAATATATTTTTAAAGTTTATTTATTTTGAGAGAGGGAGAGAGGGCAGAAGGAGCAGAGAGAGAGAGAGGGAGAGAGAGAGAATCCCAAGCAACCTCCATACTGTCAGCACAGAGCCCAACACAGGGCTCAAACTCACAAAACATGAAATAACAACCAGAGCTGAAATTAAGAGTCAAACATTCAACCAACTAAGCCATCCAGACACCCCAGGTGACCTTCAGTTTTATGTCATTTCATACAGCAGGAGACAAAGGCCTAGAAAGAGCAGTGATTGTACCCAAAATGGCCCCGCTACTCTGGCTCAGCTGATTTGCGAGCCTGAGACAACTGTCTAGTGTGCTCTCAACAGATCTTGCTGCTGTGTGTCTTCTAACTCCAGAACTTCATGCTGGGAGCATCTATATCTCTGGGAGAGTCCTAGGCTCTGCTCTCAGGAGATCCATCGAAATTAAACAGGGTTGAAAAATAAATAAACTCACGTAAAATATAAATAGCATTTCCATGAATGCAGGCAGCAACTATGTCCCTTATTTATGGCTCCACCTGCCTTGAAACAGAAAATTCAAGAGTGTAAATAAATGAATTGCAAAGTTGTTATCCTTTTTTTTTTTAATTTTTTAACAATTTATTTATTTATTTTTGACAGAGAGAGAGAGAGAGAGAGAGCGCACAAGCAAGAGAAGGGCAAGGGGGTGTGTGTAGGGACACAGAATCCAAACCAGGCTCCAGGCTCTGAGCAGTCAGCACAGAACCCGATGAGGGACTCAAACTCACGGACCGCAAGATCATGACCTGGGCCAAAGTTGAATGCTTGACCGACTGTGTCACCCAGGTGCCCCAAAGTTGTTATGTTTAACCTCAGAGAAAAGAGTGTCTCCACACGCTCTTTCACAAATGCACTGATGTCTGCTGGCCCCAAGGAGGTGCCCTTTGTCTCCCAGTACACAGCAGCCTCATCCTGCCTACTTGCCCCCTGACCTAAGCTCCCTCCACCACACCGTACTTCTATTTACACACCTCTCATGCTGGGTGTTTCACTACCTCCCAGGACGGCTCAATCCTGCCCTGGACAAAATGTCCCTTTACTAGGATGAGCTTGAAAGCTGGCTCCTGCCATGTCCCTCCATAGCTCTGGGGCCATCTCTCTTTCAGGCGACAGCTCCTTGACTGTTTGCTGAAGCTGGTCATGTACACCTGGAGCCTCTGCTTCTCCAAGGTAAATAGCCCCAATTCTTTCCACTATTATTTATGTAACAAGGTTTGAATTGGCACTGTCATTCACCTAGACTCTCCTGAATGTGCTGACTTGTCTAAATTGTCCTCAAACTGTGGCATCTAGAAATAAATACTGTGGTCCAGCTGTGGACTAACCGATACCCCATAAAAGGCATCTATCTATCCCCTTTGTTATTCTGGCTAGAGTACTTCTGTTAATGTACTCACATCACCTAGCTCCTACTTAATGCAGTTTGTGATTTGGTCCCAAGGGGGGATTTATTATTAACCATCATGTTGATAAATAGGGCAGCTATATCCAGTCTGTGCAGGTTACCTCAGAGTATGATTTCCTAAATCCTCTCTGTTTCCTGTCATCTATCTGGCAGTCTAATAAAATCATTCAAAGTCAAAGATCATGGTCACTCCATCAGCCAGGGCTGGCCCAGATAGCATGATGCAGGGAAGCAGACTTCCAGCTGACATCAACCTATTGCTAAGCACAGCCAATTATAAATTCTCCGGATCTCAGATCTACTCCTAGTCTCCTGTTTGGGAAAATGCACCATTTTCCTTTGGGGGCCACTTTGAGTCCCCCATTCTGACTCCAAAGGTTTCAGGGAATTCTTCTTTACTCTATAACCAAAAATAGGCACAGGGCAAAGGGCTGGCCTCACCAGCCTCCCTCAGCCACAGCAATTGGTCTCTGGATCACAAGTGACCAGAGGCAACCCAATCAGAGGCAATCTTGTGGAATTAGAGGAAGGAAGAACTCCTCTTCCCACAGGCACTGGTGAGGGTACGCTGTAAGCTAAAGCTTCCTCTGTGGAGATAAAGCTGCAGTGAAGAAACCAAGGCAGAGAAATGTAGAGCAAAGGGGAGGAGGGAGACTAAGCTACAAAATTGTCATCTGAGCCCCTGGATCCAATGCTGCCTGAAGCCCGTCCTACGTTTGAACTTACTGGTTTTGTTAGTCCCCAAATTCCCTTGTTGCCAAAATCATTTGGGGTTGGGTTTTTATCAATGAGTGCAAATGAACATTCTGCAGCTTCTCTCCCAGGCACCCAGAAAGGTCATGTGACACCTTGTCAAACCCCTAGCCAAAGTCGGCTACCTCACTGAAGCCCCCATCTACAACATGGTATTGTAGTTAGAAACCTCAGATCTCGAGTCCAATACCACAGGCCCATCCTGACGGGCTTTCGGGCCTTGGGAAGATTACTGAGGGATTTCTGCCTCGCCTTCTTCTTCTATACCTACTATGTCGGATCACTGGGGAGAAGGAGACCATGCGTGCAAAGTCCCTGCAACAATGCCTGGCCTGCAGAAATGTCTGAAATGCTGGAATCCCTGTTATTGTCAATACTGTCACACCATTAGTATCATCGCTGGTCCAGTTACATTGTCAGGGTCAATGTTTTCATGTACTAACCCTGGACCAGCACTGGGTGTTCTCAGCCTTCTTTTACAAGGGCTTTCCCATCATCCCTGGTGCACTGCTTCCTTCTGTCTCTTCTAGGATTAACATCATCTCACCTTTCTCCCTCTGATCTCTTTGCCAAAACTTAATCACCCACTGCCATGGCATAATTTACTCCATGTAGCTGTTCGTAAGAGAACTCCTCGACTCCAGGGATGTACAGGCCCTTCCCTGCTATACAAGCACAGTTGAGCCAATTCAGGGCAAATCTCAGAAAGTGCAGCAAAACTCCTAATTAAAAGGTAGCCTTGAGCTGTCAAAAAAAATTATGCATAGGGGCGCCTGGGTGGCTCAGTCGGTTGAGCAACCGACTTCGGCTCAGGTCATGATCTCACGGTTCATGGGTTCGAGCCCCACGTCGGGCTCTGTGCTGACAGCTAGCTCAGAGCCTGGAGCCTGTTTCAGATTATGTGTCTCCCTATCTCTCTGACCCTCCCCTGCTCACGCTATCTCTCTCTCTCTCTCTCAGAAATAAATAAAACATTAAAAAAATTATGCATATAGGAAACATTTAAAAACACAGTAGTGACTTCCTTGAGACAGATCTTCATTGGGGATATTTTTGAATTCAATTGTGGGGGCAAAAAAAAAAAAAAGTGTCCTGCTCGATGCCGCCATCCCTTGCCCTCCCTGAAGCCTAGAAAATCACCTTTGATATGCGACACGCTGCACTGCATTTGAAATCGCTGGCTGGGAGAATGGCCAGTCTTGTCTTCTCCACTGATTTCCGAGAAGCGACAGGGACCGGCATTTGTTTTTATTTGTTTGGGGCGGGTGGCTCCTCTGCTGTACTCCTCCATCCTGCTGGTCAGTGTGACTGATCATCTTTCACACATGCAGCCCGGCCTGGCAGCCCCACCTGCGGTCTCCTAGGGTGCCCCGGGCCCGATGCACACTGGTCCCGTGCTAACCTGTCTATCTCCCCCCGCCCCGCACCGTGAATGTCTAGACCTGTTATCACCGCATCCCCAGCACCTGGTTCGGCGCAGATGCTCAACAATGGCAGCAGCAAGAGTCACAACAAAATGTGAAATGTGTGAATAAATGAATGAGTAGATGGAAGAACGAATGAAACAGCTGGCTCCATGCATAGTTCACAAATCCCTCCAGGGCCCAAACCTTTCGCCCATTATTGACACAGTGATCGACTTGCAAAGCTGATATTTGACATTTGTGTAACCTCCACCATCCCACTGCAGACAGGTGCACCATACTTCGCTTCTGTTTTTCTGTGTTCGTCCTCACTACGGACTCCCTCCAACTTACCGCGGGAGCCCTAGGCAGGTCTCTGCCTACGCACCAATGTTCTCCCGCTCCACACGGTGACAGACGACCCGGAGGGGGCTTCCAGGGACCCCGGAGCTTCCCTCTCCACCCCTCTCCCTGTGAGGAAGCCGCCTTCTTACCTTCAAAGCTCCCGGCAAACAGGTAAAGCCAGGTGATGGCTGGGATGCAGAGAACAGTCAGCGAGGCGGCCAGGAATTTCCGTCTCCCTCTGCAGATTCCCAGCATCCTCTCAGAAGTGACAACCCCTAATCCCAGCGCCGCTTCTCTGCCCGGAGCACGGGGTCCTCAGCCTCCCTCATAATACTTTCTGAAAGGAAGAAGAGCAAAGAGGAAGGGCTGAGTTCTGAGCACTGTGAATGGATGCACGTTGCAGAGGAGAAATATCCCATAGATCCTGAAAGTATTTGACTCATCTACGATTTCCTGCTAACCTTCTATCCCAGGAGACGGTGCTGCAGTCCTGCAGTCCATCAAAACAGAGACAGCTCTTTAAAAAGTAAATGAATAAAGGATGATAAAATCTATGAGATCTCAAGAGGTACCTGGGTGGCTCAGTTGGTTAGGTGTCAGACTCTTGATTTCGGCTCAGGTCATCATCCTAGGGTTGTGGGACTGAGCCCCACATTGGGCTTTGCGCTGAGCATGGAATTTGCTTAAGGTTCTCTCTCTCCCTCTGCCCTTCCCTAGCTTATATACCCTCTCCCTCTCTCTCTCCTCTCTCTCACTCTCGTGCACACACACACATATGCATGCATGTATTCTATAGTGTAGGTTACTTTGCAGCCTGAACCAACCACCAAAAAAGCATTTAGTTAGCACCTTGTATGTACCGAGCACTAACCAGGTGCCACGTTTTCAAAAATGTCAGGAACGCCGTTGGCTTCAAAGGACACAGTCTAACAAGAGAGACCAACATAAAACATCCGCAAGAACTTCAAGAATGTGACGGACTGAGATGCGTATGGCCCTCTGTGGAAAGCCAAATGGAAGTGGCTGACTGATGCAGGTGCAGCCAAGATGGCAGAATGGTTTCCGAGTTCCAGACAGGGAGAGCCGCAGAAGGCACTGGAGGCCGACTGGCGGCACATTCAGAGGAGAGGAAGCTGCACTGGCCACAACCTCACCTGCAGGGGACTACAACTGTATCACAGTTCATGACCTAAAAAACACTCACCAGAGACTGTCTTAATAGCATCCACCTTTAATACGGAAGAAGATGTCCAGGAAAGCATGGAAACAATTAAAATGTGCAGAAAATGGAAAGGAGCACAGATAACCTATAACTAGCCTGCAGAGAGCCAGTCCTAAGTCATGCCGAAGACTGGCTGAGACATGTTCAAAGAAGAGGTAGTAGGTCAGTTCCCATGGAGTAGGGCCCCACGATCCTTCACCTGGGTATGTGACCACAGGTCATGTGCCTTTCAAAGGAATTTAAGACCCAATAGAGCGTGCAATCTCATCTCCACCTGCCTCTGACCATGGATGTCACTCCGGCTGAAGGTGGAATGCGGGGTCCACATGTTAGAAGCCTCCAAAACAGGGTGGAAGCCACTATTGCAGGTACCTACACAAGGCTTCCCATCCCCAAAGAATGATGTCCATGAAAGAGCTGGTTTTGGTGCTCCCTTGGGTATTACCACAAAACGTCCTTTCCTCTGCCAGAACCCCTGTGTCCCATGTGACTGTGGTCTGGTTGAACTGTCTCCCCTCCCTGCCAACCTTGGCGTTTTCAGGAGACAGACGCCCTGTCCACTCCTCTTGCATGCATTTCCCAAAGACCTAGCATAGTGCCTGTCACTTGCTGGCCAGCAGACAACTGTCTGCTGAACGTATGAATGGAATCAGAGTGTAACCAAAGGTGGCCTTTAGAAGCTTCAAGAGTTCGTGTTCAGCAAGTTGCCAGCAATAAATGCCTAATGGAGCCAATCTCAACTGTCAACACCACGCTTTCTTCTGCAACCACTCTGACGCCATTTTCTAAATGGCTCTCCTTTGAAACAGATGAAAGACCACAAGGCTGGAGGGCATGGGCTAGAAAGTAAAACCAGAAAAGCAAAATTGCTTTAAACAAAGAATGATGGTTGGAGAAAAGGTCCCCCCAGCCCCGTCCACTAATGTGGAAAGGTTTTCATTCTGAAGAATGGGCAACAAATCCTTCATACAAACTGTGAGTCACTAAGAATAAGGATCTTCCAGATGCTGGGGACTCTCTCAGGAAGAACACAGTGGGGACAGGAGGCTACGCAGTGAGACAGATGTGGATTCAAATCCAGTTCTACACTCGACTAGCTGCAACACTGGCAAACTCCTTACTCTGGGTAAGCTTCATGTTTCCCATCTCTAACAAAGGATGCTCTCCCTGCCGGAGAGTCTAAAATGAGAGAGCCCTTGAAAAAGGGCCCAGAAAGGATGGATGGAGAATAAGGTAGGGTGAGCCCCACCTCTTCCCAAGAGCCAAAGGGCAGATGGATCAGCTTTTCCTCCCTCCCCACTCGCACAGGGCTTGGGAGAAAAGAGGTCCCAACAAATAAGCACCAGCTGACATTACCAAGTGCAAATGCAAGATTTCAATCTGAAGGACCCACTGGATTCTCCTTCAGGAAGATACCACACTGAAACTGCCCTTTGTGGCGTTTGGGTATTTTTTGTTTGTTTTTTGGTTTTGGTTTCTTGGTTGTTTCTTTCTTTCTTTTTTTTTTTTTTTAATGTTTATTTTTGAGAGAGAGGGAGAGAGGAAGTACATGGCATAAGCTGGGAAGAGGCAGAGAGAAAGAAAGGAAGACACAGAATTTAAAGCAGGCTCAAAGCACTGAGCTGTCAGCACAGAGCCCAACCCGGGGCTCCAACTCACGAACTGTGAGATCATGACCTGAGCCGAAGTCGGACACTTAACCCCCTGAGCCACCCAGGTGCCCCTGCAATTCACTTATAATAATAACAATAATAATAATGATAGCAGCAAAGACATATTCTGTCTCAGACTCTTTTCTTTGCATTTTATTTGTTTAATTCTCCAAAATAACCTATGAGGTAGGAACTATTTTTCATCCCCATTTAGTGGATGAGAAAACTAAGGCCTAGAAAGATTGATGAACTGGCCACAGGTTGCACGCACCTATGGCCGAGACACCTTGAGCTCTGCTCTCCCTCTAAGTAACTGATTCTACCAACCTTTGCCAGGGGTCATTTTCCTTCTGATCTAACCTAAATCCTTCATATTAAATCTCAGGATTACTTTCCTCTCTGGGTTAAATATATCACCACTATTTGCTCCCATTCAAAAAAAAAAAAAAAAGTACAACAGATAGAACGAAAACTGGAAAGCTAGAGACGAATTAGGACTTCAGGGAAAAGTAGGAATATATATGGAGCTGAACCCAAGTGGCATTAATATTTAAAAACATTTTTAAAAACCTCTTTATCTGCAAAAGTTCATTTCAATTGACAAAATTTGTCCTAAGTTTTGAAACAGAGTCCAGAGTGGTTTGCATTTTATGATAACACTGGCATCTGAAATTAAACCCGGCAGGTAAAAAAAATACTCCTTCATGGATTTGACTTTTAAATGACACCTCTATGCACTAAAAACACATTTTAAAGAAAAATCTCAATTTATATCAGGAGTTACTCCGGGAAGTCAATATAGTGAATCAACACAAGAAAGAAGGAAGGGCTGGAAATTACTTCCCACACATGTGCAAATGTTGACTATTAACTGAGGAAACTGGTCTGGAAGTTGTTCTTGCCTGGACTGAGGGAGACACACTCCTGGGTGAATAGGTAGGGCAAAGAGTCACCTCTAAAATGCCCCTGCCTCAAAAGCCATCACCCAGTTCCTTGGCCAAGCTGGTCAATTTCTCCTAAACATCTACTACTCCATCTGTCTTCTCCCATCTGTCTTAACCAATGAAATTCACATTTATGCAGAACACTGTACGAGCCAGAAAAATTATCGTGATCTATTAAAGCCACAGAAGCAGCATTCACGGCTGAACATAAAAATGTGATTACAAGAATCTTTCAGTCCAACGTAACATGTATAAATACCTAAAGAACTACATATATAAAAAGTATAAAAGTTAAAGATTATCTCTGGGTAAAGGATAAGGATAATTTCAATACATCTGAATACAGATTTCTCCCAAAAACTTTTGACAAAGAATATGTGTTGCTTTTATAACTTAAAAATATTTTAAAACTTGAATCACCAAGTCTTCTTGTTATGTTGCATGTGATTCAAAATCCCTCAGGGCAGACGGTGAAGGAATACATGTGTTAGTTTCACTTTACATATGAGGTGCTGTAAATTAAGATCTGCCAGATCCTAATTAGGAATATATCCTCCGGAAGTAGCCCGCTACCATTTGAAAGGCTCCAGTCAGAAGCCCACATTCCAAATGTTGAGCTGAGCTGATCAACACTAGACAATTGTCTGCTTCTTCTTCTTCTTTTTAATGGGGCACCAGGCCCAACTTGGGGCTTGAACTCACAACCCCAAGATCAAGAGTCCCATGCTCTACTAAGCCAGCCAGGCATCTCTATAGGTTCTCTTTTAATTGGCATCATTAGAAACGAATTTTCATGGGTGTTCAAGATGTGTGAATTGTCTACAGATTCTGCACATGAAGACTGAATAAAAATCTAAGTAACTTCCAAAGGAAACAGACACACAAACAAAAGTCTAAGGAACCAATGACTGAAACCCTTCGGAATCACTTAGGAGCCCAAACTGATCCTTCAGGCATGTAAGAGATTTGTTACATGTTATGTTATATGTTGTAACATGTTATATGTTTGTAACTACAAGACTGGGTGAATTCTGTGAGTCCCATATTGTCATCCCAGTCCCAAGTGAACCTTTCTTTTTTTTTTCTCTTTTATAGTTTATTGTCAAGTTGGTTTCCATATAACACCCAGTGCTCATCCCCACAAGTGCCCTCCTCCATGCCCATCACCCCCTTCCCCTCTCCCCCACCCCCATCAGCCCTCAGTTTGTTCTCAGCATTCAAGAGTCTCTCATGGTTTGCCTCTCTCGCTTTCCCCACTATTTTTCTCCTTTTCCTGCTTCGTCCTCCGTTAACTTCCTCCTAATCCACCTATATGTGCAAACATATGGTATCTGTCCTTCTCTGCCTGACTTATTTCGCTCAGCATAACACCCTCCAGGTCCATCCATGTGAACCTTTCTTTCAAGAGCCTGTCCCAGTTCTAAGAGGGCACAGGGCTGGCCCTCGCTGAGCTTATAATACAGACCCTACAGCAGACAGACCCTCCACAGACGTTGGCTTTGTCGTATCATTACCTGCA